ACGCACATTTTAATTATGCCAATTCGAGAGGTAATCGTATTAATTATGCGAGTGGGTGTAATTATGATAACGCAAGTCGTTATGATAACCAGACCCCGGTTCACCCCGTTATCGCTTTAACATTTACTGAGTATGTATTAGTGTGTTTATTAAGGTCACCAAGTTCAAATCTCAACGCAGAAGCAGATCTTATGCATAGATTTCAGGAAAGAATCACACAACCACTTCTGTATTGATCAATTTATTACTAATTCAACCTTAACTATGATATAGTATGCGAACTCTCAATCCCGGAACGTCAATACGGCATCAATACAGTATCATCAACGATTGTCTGATTTCACTTTGACAACTGCACATGGATCCCGCATAACGCGATGGTTGTTAGTGAGAGAGAGAGTCGTTAAAACATGCAAATACTATGCTAAGAAAACCTTAACGTTAATGAATGATTATACTCAATATTGTTCACGCAGTACCGCACTCCTTATTGATCATACGCAACCCTTATCACGTTGTTAACACCTTGGGTCACGGGACAGTTGAATATTCTGTAGAGGATGCGAGTACGTGCGGCGATTATGACTGAAGGATACTTGAAAGATTATACGGCGAAAAAAAAAAAACACAATCAAAACAGTTACTATTCTTAAAGGCACCAATCTCAACAGATACATCGGCAGGTTATCTGACAGCAGAACGGCTCGGAGTAAGGGCCTGCGACGGTGCTCCTTTTCCGAAGATCGTTATCTTATACCAAGTTTACTAATTGGGGACCAGATCACCTGATAAGGATCCGGTGGGCCACCACTCCCCACGTGAGCGTGGCTCGGCGGAAGGAGGTGCCAAGAATCAGTTCGTATTGATGGATCTGTTGGGAATTTATGCGATTAAGAGTACAGCCCACTAAATATTAAAGATAAAAATTAAGAATACTCTTATACGACGGATGGCCACCACTCGGTCTCGTTGTGATGCCTTCCCAGCCACGGATGACTTATGGGTTCGAGTGTTTTGAGTGGTAAGAGTTGTCTTGAATAGTCAGTGTTCGGAGTCGATTCTTTATGTCAAACAGACGCCTGGTGGTCGTGTGGTGAGGGGGCGGTGCGCGTCATACGTATCAGGCGCTCCCCTGTCACCGTGGTGAATTGCTCGGATGGCTGTTGATACGCTGTCGCAGTTCGGAACCCGGTCGGTAGGTGGCGCCCACAACTCGCTCGTAGCGTGCAGCGCTGGATCGTCGCCAAGTCGCGACGCTCACCACCGGCGGCAGCGGAGATCTCCGGCGGCAGCAGAGATTGACGAGCTGAAGATGAGTCGAGCCGACCCGCTGGTCGCAGCTCGCTCCTGAGTCGACCCTCCCGGTCGAGCTCGCTCCTGGGTCGACCCGCTGGTCGCCCTCGCTCCTGAGTCGACTCTCTGGTCGCACTCCTGAGTGGACCCGCTCTGGTCGCACTCGTTCCTGAGTCGACCCTCCCGGTCGAGCTTCTGAGTGGACCCTCCCGTCGCACTCCTGCTGAGTCGACCCTCCCGGTCGAGCTTCTGAGTGGACCCTCCCGTCGCACTCCTGCTGAGTCGACCCTCCCGGTCGAGCTTCTGAGTGGACCCTCCCGTCGCACTGGTTTCCAATGTTCAGGATCCGTTCCTTTATGCTGAAAAATCCCCCTGGATCCCGCCCACAAGGCGGGGCTTCCGATTTTTGCTGTGTCAGGATCTGTCCGTAGGCAGGTGTGTCCATGTGTGTGTCCGTATGTCCTTGTGTGCATCACTGACGGTATATTCCGTTGTCAACTCCCTCCATAAAACCCACGAGCAAACAACCAGATGTTACAAATTGTCTCGAAGTCGTCTCTCTGTCTGGGTGCAATTTATCTCTTGTCTGGCCTTCTTCATGAACCCAAAACACAGACGTTACAAATCGTCTCATAGGCGTCTTTGTTCGTGTTGCACAACCTGGAGGGGGGGCAACACTCTCTCCGACCCGGCGCACAAAGAAATGGTTAAAAGTTTTAAGTTAACATTTGTCCCTTACTATTTCACAGTTATGATTCTGTATGTAACCTAAGGTCTGTCGTTTCCCATCGTGGTTCCCGACCCAAGTGTAGGTGTTTCCCCGAGCGTACACACACTCCTATCCCGCGCTGCGGGGATACAAAGACGGCCGGGATCTCCCTTTCTCTCCGACCCTGGGTTTAACATTGTTTTTTTTTTATTATGTATTTATATTCGACCTGGTGGTGATTCATCCCGTTATCCTGGCTTTTCCATAAGTTTTACTTTTGTCTTTTCATGCATATACTTATTACTATTAATTTATTCCCGATATCTTAGGTTAAGGGGTAAGTTTCTTGATCCTAGGAATTCGTATTCCTTGGTGCCTGGATGGTTATATAAGCGGAATATAGTTTACGGTGAATAGCGTTAACATTGATGTTATGTGCGATATTATGTATTGTGATGTCTTTAACTTAACTTGTTTGTCAGGGCTTTACTGACACGAAGTTGCATTCCATAGCCCGCAGTCTTTGCCCCACCCTATCTCTGCTCGCCGTTGTTGTTGCCTGCCGTTAATTCAAGGCCTCATTAATTTCCGTCACCCCTGAGTAGGTGAGGGCGGTTGAACCTTGGAGTCAGTTCTGGTTTTTGTCTGCCTGCTTCTTCTTGTGTCCCCTGACCCCGGGAGTTATTATTCTACTTTATGGCCTGTCGAAGCCCCACTCGCTGTTGCTGGGCTGGTGTTGTTCCCGGCTTTTTGCTTACGTTTGCAGTTCGCCGTGCTCTTGATTTCCTTCCCTCTTCAACCTTATATTGACTATTCGCTCCTGTCTGGGTGCGATTCAATTTTGACTTAGGAAGGTTCTGATTGTCATATGCTTCGGGTCGAATTGTATAGAAAGTATTGAAGTATGGAAATAACATTTCATATTGACTTAATAATGGTGATGGTTCAGTAGGCGTAACTTGTGGCCTGGTTTAATTGGAGTGGGTGTGAATATCGATAACTTTAGCCTACCCTGTTGTTAAATTCCGACTTTAACGTTACTTTAATAGCAATACAGAATAATTGAGCTTTTTGTCTTAACTAGGCGAATGCGAACTTCTGGTGACCCCGCAGCCTTGTTGTTCAGCTGGGTCTGCCTCCTTGAGAGATATACACCACTCTTATTCTCGTCTCACTGTGGTCATCCAACCTTCTGCTCTGGGAGTGTTATTCTTACTTTCAGGTCAAAGGCCCCCTCACATCCAGACGCGCAGGGTTGTTTACATCAGCTCCCCCCCTGTGCACGTGTTCTAACTAGCTCGGAATTCCTGAACACACAATCAGTGATGATTCCTGGCTTTCTGTGGTTGTGATTTAGACAAAGGCGCCTCTGTTTTCTTCCATTGCCTTTGAGTCGACACTGCCCTATTATTTGCCCATGTGCTGAGGTCATAGAATTCGTTTTGACTTCAGTAATATTAACATTCAGTATTGGATTAGCAAATGGGCAATGGTTCATTGATGTAGCTCGCAGCCTGGTCTCCAGTTTGAGCGAGCGCGAGGATCGATAATTTAGCCTACTCTGTTGTTGAATTTCGAATTTTGACGTTACTTTAAAACCATGCAGGATGATTGGGCTTTTGCCTTAACTATGTCTGGCTGACACTCCCACTGTCTCTGCCGCCTGCACGGGTGACATGTGCCCGTTCATCAGGCCTTATCTTCCCTTGAAGCAACGTTGTAAATTCTGCCATCCTAGCCCTCCTCCGGTTCATTACTTAACAACACCTGGTGTTTTGCAGTTTGCTGCGCTTGGTGTGTTTCACTCATTAAAAAAACAAGTAAAAAGATAATATATAAAAATCATCAAATATTATTAATCTCAATTATGGAAGAAGGGTTAGTATACAACACCGTACCCTACCCGATACCCGGCTACCCGTACCCGGCCGTTTGCGACCTCTGACAGTCGCCCTGGTGCGGCCGGGTACGGGTACGGGTAGGCCGTGAGTCACTGGTGAGTAACCGTTTTTCGCTCATTTCCCAACGTCTTGTCTCTTCTCACAATTCAAGTTCCTAGAATCAACCCACCCGCGCCTGCAACATGGCTTCATCCCAGAGGTCGCAATCAGGTACCCGATACCCGTACGGGTACGGCCGGGTACGGGTACCCGTTTGTGACCCTGGTGCGGCCGGGTACGGGTAAGGAATCAAAACCCGTTTGCGACCTCTGGCGACCGTGGGCCCATCGCGTCACTAGTGGGGACCCCGGCACCGTGCCGGGGCCTAGCTCGGCGCTGGTGCGGGGAACGAGACCAGAACAATTGGAATTGTACGAAATGTGTGAAAATGCGTGCACGGGCAAACGGCTTAATGTGCATTTACTACGGGTAATTTTCCATCGAAAGAATATCATTTATAATAAAATAAATGAAAGAAATAATTAATAACGAAACGGACAAGAAGTATACCGAAGAAAATTTTAACATTTGTGACGAACATCTCCATCATGGGACCTCCTTTGCCAGTACCACAATATGTTTGTCTTTGTGCTGTATGCCTTTTGGCATCCACTGGTCTTACACCGTTTTGAGATGAGGCTCAAAAGAAAGCTGTCTCTGGTGTGGACCAATCAGTTTCAAAGACAATGCACTGTATTATCAGAGTACGTTTTTGGTTTGCATTCTAACCACAAGCATTGTGGTTAATGCAAACATAATTCCTTGTAAAAGGTTTCAGTTTGGTGTTTTAACATCTTAACACAACTGTTTTGTTGCCAGAAAAAAGGGGAAAACCTATTTTCATATGTGACGAACCTAAAAAACGAATCGTCGTAAATAGAATTAACATACATCTGGGGGTACTCCTGTACTGTACGTGGACCAAAGTGTCACTTCAATGTGAATTGAGCCTAAAAGATTGCAAAGACGACATCAGCAAAGCTAAACTCCGCAACGCACGGTGCACGGGGCGTGCTTTCGTGCCTGCGTGTGTGTGTGTGTGTGCTATGGGGCGACAGGAAGTGAAGCTGAGCAGCCCGGACTACAAGGACTTCGACCTGGAGACAGCGCGGGACGATTTCATCAAGCGCATCGAGTGCTACAAGACCGCCTACCAGCCCATCGACGACGAGGTGGACAGGTGAGGAGGGGGCGATAACTGCACGGAGTCGACCTGCGAAGGCTACGAACGGTGCGAAAGAAGTTCAACATACATGTGTGATGGTGTTATTAGGCGAACATACACCATCTCCGGCCAGTACCCACTACCTACCTATAGGGGGCACTTAGCGGGTTGAGCCAGTACCTGGCAGAGGTTGCTACCAGGTACCCGATACCCGTGCTCTACCCGATACCCGGCTACCCGTACCCGGCGCGGACTGAACTGTCTCGTTGTCCTGTCCCACCCCCCTGCCCACGCGGCCACCCCAGCGAGCTGTCCTACATCAAGATCATCAACGTGGGGCAGCGCTTCCTGGTGAACCGCGTGCGCGACCACGTGCAGAGCCGCATCGCCTACTACCTCATGAACATCCACGTGCAGCCGCGCTCCATCCTGCTGTGCCGCCACGGCGAGAGCGACAGCAACGTGCAGGGCCGCATTGGCGGGGACCAGGGCCTCACGGCGCACGGCCGCCAGGTACGGTGGCGTGCATGTGCACGCGTGCGGTTCACGGCGGCTGCCCTGCCTCTCTCCGTGCGCATGTCCGTGTGGAGAAGCCGGAAGACAGTGGCCCTCCAGCAAAAACGGAGGGCAGAGGAGCGACGCTCGCAACAACTAGCGGAGCGCCGGGCGGCTAAAACGCAGCAAGTTTGCACAGTAGGGGGCACAGCTGGTGCATTTGGCAGTCGTCTCAAGTCGGTCAACCCGTGACACCTGGGTCTGTCCCCGTGACCTCCTGTCAGCGAGCCTTGGACACTTCACGTGACCTCAAAGGGAACCTGCCCTGGCACAGGCGCTGTGGTGACGTCACCGTCACTTGGTGGCAAATGGAGGGTATTGGTATTGGTGGAGAAAAACAACGTCAGTGTAGCGGTTGGCGCCCTACGCTAAGAACCTGGCGACCGAGTTCGATTCCTGCTCACGGCCAACACCGTGTTGACGATT